AGAACAATTATTGAAATGTTTGTAAAGTTAAAATGATATTTGTAATTTTAATTTTGGAAATATTTATTTTAAAGGATACAAAATTTATAATTCATAAATTAAATATATGAATATTTTTAAAATACGTGAACAAATTTAAAAGTAGGTTATATAGTTTGTATGTACAATATTTATAACACATATTTAGACGTTATTTTTATTGTTGTAATTATTGTTTACGTAGTATTTACATATTTCTAGTACATTAAGACTAGTTATTCACCGTAGATGTGTAATATGTGTAGGTTGTAGCGGCTAGAATGTCTTGTATGCCACTCTTTGGTTGTTTGTTCGAGAGCTGGGGGCCACACTTTTTCCTGTTAATTTTCAATGTGCAATAACAGGTAGGACCCACTGCTCATAGGTACGAAAAATTAAATGTCATTAGGCTCCACATTCAATACATCTTAGTTTGTTATCCATACTTGAAATATGAACATCAAGGGTTGGTTGGTTAGCTAGAGTGGCTCGTGTCCTCAATTTTTTTTGAGGATCTTGTGTCCTTAATTTGTGTCGTGTGTTCGAGTCCCGCCTCACTGATATTTTAGTTAATTATCGTACCTATATGCTATACAGAGGTCCGTCCTTTCCGTTAATTTTTGTATCAATATGCTGCTGTACAGTGGTTGGCCTTTCCCGCAAATAAAAAATAGTAAGGTTGTTTTGTGCAAAAATAAGTTGGCCAAAGGCCATCACTCACTGACAAGTAGGCCCATACACCTTGATATGTCCGCATGCGTATTTTGTGACCGTATTTGCACGCGATGTCAAGTTAGATAACCACAAATCCGTATTTTTAAAATTCTAGCACCAAACTGAATATTGAGCGCAAGTTCTATGACTTTCGGTGATATTACCTCATTTTTTTTCACCTTCAACCTGCAGTCCACCCTTATCCTGAGACACACCGCACCCCACCAGCGCTCCCCAAGGACGCATCTCTCCTCCATCCCCTTTCTTTCTCTCTCCCGACACATCTCGCCACAGCTCCGGTGCCTCCGCCTCAAGGAGAACTACATCGCCCCCACGAACCACGGACCCAAGCCGGCGCATGCGTGCATCGATTGTACGATGTGCGGCGCTCCGTCGAGCTCGCCTGCCCGCGTGTTGGCCGACGGAGGGGAGAGCCGACCAGAGTCCTCCGCCACTGTCCGCGCCAGTTTTCTTCCCCGATCCAGATCCCAGCTCCCCGCGCGCGTGACCGCCACCACGAGGAGGCCGAGGCCGACAAGGCAGGGTCTCGCCCAGCGTGGTGACCTTCACATCCAAAGGTCCATTTTTCTTTCTTCTTTTCAATCCATTGCTGCGATGCTTATCTTGCTTTCCCGGTGATGCATGTCTCCATTTATTTAATGCTTGCTTCTGCTGATCATAGGAGTACAAATGCTGGAGTTGTTAATTGTAATATAGATGACGTGTCCTGGTGTCTTGATCATATCTTTGGCCTGAACAAGTTTTTGCATGTTTCCTGGTGCTAAATTCCATGTTTTCATTTTTCTTCTAGCATTGATTCTCAATACAGATGATGCTATGTTGATATTTCTATGTTTATTCGAGTATAAATATTCAGGTGACGCCCTGATGCTATTACCATGTTTCCATGTTTGTTTGCATGTGTCGTGATCTTGCTGTCTAGTGGGAAAATTGGAATAGACAGAATGTATTGTTGCGACTAATAGCACAAGGACTAATGACATGCTTGTGTTTGCGACTATCTGGAGTATTGGAGCAGAGAACAGTAGCCAGTTTATTTTTTATGAACATGCTTGCATTTATTCATATATCTGGTGCATTTATTCATATTTCTTGTGTACCAATGTTCAGTGTTCCCTTGCGGAGGAGCAGGGGTCGTGCTGGGATGGATAGCACCGGGGAGAAGCCCCTCCAGTGATTTCATGGGTTGCGGTTCGGCCGACGAGCTGGCCGACCAGGAGCAGGGGTTCGGGGACGCCCTCCGCACCGACATGGTCAGCATCCTCTCCGCCATCCCCTCTCTGGATGTGCTTGCTTAGATGTTTTGCTTACTCACTGCAGTCAGTTTAGTCGAACTGTAAAGAACTTGTAGCTGGAGTATAAAAAAAGGGCAACCTGGTGCATGTAGCTCCCGCTTGCGCAGGGTCCAGGGAAGGGTCCGACCACTTTGGGTCTATAGTACGCAGCCTTTCCCTACATTTCTGTAAGAGGCTGTTTCCAGAACTTGTAGTTGGAGTATAATTTGAAAATTTCGTGCTGCTCTAGTTTTGTATCAAATGAATCTTGTGGGCAGAGAAAATGTCATGCTGCTCTAGTAGATGATGCAACAATTTGAAAATAAGCAATCTGCAGGAACATGAATTACTTTTTCTCTTTACCCCTATTTTTCTACATACATGATTTATAAACTTGCTTATCATTGTTTCACTAATTATTGCTCATGCCCTGCTCTCATGTTTGTTGTAGGCAGCAAGATGTTCGTGCAACTGAGATTGCAAACCTAAAACAGTATAAAGCTCTCTCTTGGTGATGCAAGGGCACACTACCTTTCAAATGCCAAGAATGAACTTGGAGTTGTTTTTTCCCAAAGTATAGCTGGTAAGCTTTATGTTGCTACTGAACTTGGAATTGCCAAATTCGCATCAGTTGATTTCAGTATTTGGCCTAGGCTTTTGAGTTGGGAGTGAAGTTGTTGCTAATGCTAGAAAATAGAATGTAAGTAATTCATGGAGTATGTGGTTATTAGAAAGAACTCGTGTGTGCAGGCTACTTGAGGCTAGCAGTATCACGAAAATCTAGTGTGGCATGATTTCACCTAGTGCTCTTTAGGTCTTTCGCTTTCTGATAATATGGTATGCCTTAAGATGCTCATGTGATATTCACTTTTTCTCTGTCTCTCCCCCTTGCTTCCCTAGAATTTCCTTATCTACTTTACAAATGAGAAGCAATTTGTTTTACCCAAATATTTCCAAAGAAATCATTGCTGATATTTTCTAAGCAACCTCCCTTTATTCGGTTAAGATGTTATAGTTTTTTTTTTCACGAGAAAGATATTTATAGACCGCACTCCTGTATTGGTCATTGGTTCTGTATGCTGCAGTTGTTTGTATATTTGATCTTTACATCTGACTCCATAACTGACAATGCACGCAGTTCTTTCTGTACCAAGAACTGAACCAAGGCTCTGAACGAATCAACTAAAAAAATTCCTTTTGCGTACCACCATTTACTGAATTCTCGATAACATTGCTCTATGCATCTCTAGCATGCAACACAGAGAAATCTATATACTGTTATAAATTCTTTTTTTGTAAGTTTCAACTCTCAAGTTGATTGTGGAGCATGCTTTGCTAATGTGGTCCAACCTGGCATTTGGTGAACTCTCAAGTTGATTGTGGAGTATATGTTTGAGTAATGCTAGTTTGGGTACTCCTCTCTCGTCCTGACATTCTCAATGCAATTCTTCCATGTTTCCTGTTCCCACATGGCACAAGCCTATTTTATTCAGTTTGAATTCTTACTCCACTTTACGCTACAGTTTTAATTGATCAAGCTCTCTTTACAAACCTTTTTTTTTTGCAAGATGCTCTCTTTACAAACTGGATGTATATCTTGTGCAGGAGTACCTACTGCTGATCCGGAGGCTGAGGAGGAAGATGGAGCTGCACTTGAAGATCCGGGGGCAAGAGGAGGAAGAAGATGGTGCAACACTTGATCCGAAGGCGGAGGAGGAAGAAAATGAGGCATCCATCACTGGCGCGGACAAGGAGAGGGAAGCGGAGTCGTTGCCGCGAGTTCTGAAGGTGCGAGCTCGGAGGCATAGGATAAATCGGAGGCGTGGAGGAGCAGCTGGCCTTGCTCGGAGAAGAGGCTCTTCATCCGGCAGGCGAGTTGCTGGCTTGCTGCTGAGGGCAATCTAGAGTGACCTGCAGCTACTGCCGAGGGCGATCTGGAACTGCTGTTGAGGGCGACCTGGGGAGGCGATCTGGAGAGGCGAGCGAGCAAAGCGGGAGGTGCGAGGCGAGCGGTCTGGAGGGTGTCTGGAGCGGGTGATGGGCCAAGGCCCAAAGCCTACCAGCGTTTTTTTAATACTACCCAACGTGGGAATCGAACGAAGACGACCAGACGTACGAAAAAAGGAACGGAACGTACGAAAAGGCCTGGTGCACGAAAAAAGTGGAGAAACAATCCTCCCTTTAATATTGGGTAGAGAGTAGAGATTTGTCAAATTTGCCATCGAACGCGCGCTATGGATCAGACTTATTTGAATTTCAAATTGCCCTTTAGAGGAACATATACAGGAATAAAGCGTACATATAAGCACGAGAGAAAATTTGCAGATCAGTGTTGGAGATGCCCTGACCTAATTTTATGTTCCCTTGCCTCCCAAAGAATAAAAAAACGTAATTTAAGTTCCACAAAAAAACATGATTCATATGATTTGCGTTCTGTGGTCCCAAATTAATGCTCAACTTTGTGATTATATTTTAATGGTAACTTCAGGGAGACCACAATTCTAAAGCAACAAATTAAACGAAAATTCTAAAGCGATAAATTCACAGTTCCAAGCAAGGTGCATACAAGTTCACAGAATTCACAGAAAACCAAGAGGATCATCCAAGTTCACTTGTCACTAGCTGGTGCAATGAGAGTCCGCGAAAATAAAGAACAAGTTGACTTGTGAGAATTCACAGAAGCAAGAGGCTCATACAAGTTCACTTGTCACTAGCTGGTGCAATGAGAGTCTACCAAAATAAAGTACAAGTTGACTTGTGAGAATTCATAGAAGAAGCAAGAGGATCATACAAGTTCACTTGTCACTAGCTGGTACAATGAGAGTCTACCAAAATAAAGTACAAGTTGACTTGTGAGAATTCACAGAAGAAGCAAGAGGATCATACAAGTTCACTTGTCACTAGCTGGTGCAACGAGAATCTACCAAAATAAAGTACAAGTTGACTTATGAGCAAAAAATAATGGCAAGCGCATCAGAAAGAGACAGCACAACATCTGGTACTGATCACTTCCTTCTGATCCATTGTTTCCTGTTGATCAATGAGACGTGTGGCAGAGACCACATGCCTAATTCCCACCGGTGTCATGCTCTTCCTGGGTGTTTTCTCCACCTCAACCTTCACTGCTGTGATCCATAGCTTATTCTGGGGGTCACGATATTTCATTTGCAAACCTATATATACAAAGAACATTAGAGGTGATGGCATCTTTCATGAAATGCATAAAAGAGAGAGGGAGAGAGACAGGGAGATATTCACCTTGCACCACCCAAAACAAGATGGCACCGGAGTTGACATCTTTGCCAGCATAATCCAAACACATTCTTTCAGTCCGCCACATCTCACTCTCCCATGAGAGTGGCAAATATATTGGGATGTCTAGATACACACAATTATCTTCATAGAGTAGTTCATAAGCAGCAAGCCCTTTTCCTGAGCATGTGTAGATAAAACCATCCACAAATACACATCTGCCATTTAGAAAGCGATAACTAGACATATCCCTCGGCGGGTATTCTCCCCATGGAGCCCAAGGCATGACAACATGCCACTTATTGGCATCCAGGTCAAAGTGAAGACAAGAACATGTGAGAGTATCACAGACTATAAAGGAATTATCACTCACTACAACATATCCGGACAGCTTGACCTTCCTGTCAGGAATCTGAGAGTGATCTGTCATGCAGCGCACCCATGAGCTGGATCGAGGAGGACAAACAAGGTGGGCCTTACGGTAAACTTGGAGAGTTTCAGTAAGAGCAAGAGTTGCCCTACCAACTTGGATAGCCATGATAAAAGGGTCAACAGAAGAAACAGGCCGCCTTGCAAGGGGATCAAGATGCTGACATCTGGTGTCCAGGTTAAGCACATACATGCCATCTTTTAGGAATGAGACAGCATATAGTTCTGAGCCACTGACAAAAAAATGCCTCGGACCATGATCATCTCCAGGTACAATGTAATGCGGTTTGAGAGGAGTGGCTATTCCTAACCTTGGACTCAGATCTGGATTCAGATCCATGAGACTTGTTTTATAGATAAATGATTGTGAACCAGCTTGGCAGATAATAAACAAGAGTTCATTGTCCATATGTGGCTTCACATAGGGAGGAGGAGGAAGTGGTGGGAGATGATGCCTGCGTGCAAGAAGGAAAATATGTCATGCACAAGAAACTTGGAATAAAATATCTAAGCTAAGCTCAAGCTTGTGGAACAAGACCTGCAAGTATTGCAAGGATCATGAAGCGCTTTCTCTTCATGGACTTCCTCTGCATCATGGACTTCATGGACTTGAGGCAACACCTTGTCATCCTTATACTCTCTAAGTGATTGATTAGTGGGCAAAAGATTAATATAATTTGTAAGCAAGATGACCAAAATGAATGCATGGATTAATGGTCAAAATGTGTACATGGCTTTAGTGGACAGAGAAACTTACTGAAGAAAGCGGAATTCAAATTCATTGATGTCTTCCATGGGCAAGACGTCCAGCTGGCGGGAGGTGGAGTGCAGGACCTTGATGTGGGGGCCAGGACCAAGCTGGAAGGTGGTGATAATGGCGTGTAGGTGGTCCTGCCAGCATGGGAGCGCCGTACTCATCAAGACAGAGCACATGACGCCCGAGCCCAGATGGGTGAGGAAGCCATGGGCTCTGCTTCGTGCAACACAAGGAAATATAATCTCCATAGGGGTACCAATCTTCAGACTTCTCTCTTCATATCCCAGCTTGTATTCATAGATCACATTTTTGCGGAGCATGTAGATGGCATTGGTTTCTTGTACATAGAGGCCACGGCCGAGGATAGGGACGTAATCCTTGTCCTCTGAGGTTTGGACTACCTTGGTCCAACCCAAGTCAGGGGAGGAGCAATTGAAAGTGAAGAAAAGACCGTTTTGGAGGGAGAGCAGGATGAGGGTGCCCCCCTCACGGCCATGGCCAGGGAGCACCGCGTAGCCCTGGAGGAAGTCAAGACCCCATATGGTGGGAAGGGAGGGCTCGAATTTGCAATGTTGGTCGAAGGGGGGGCCGACCTGCTCCCAACGTTGGGAAGCTGCGCCCTCTTCCTCTTCAATGACCAGGCGTTGTACTAGGATACGGAAACTCGTGCCAGAAGAATAGGTAGCCGACACGGCCCATATGTGGCCGTCGGCCGAGATGGGCATGCACCGGCCACGCATGCTTGGATCCAGCGGGGGAAGCGGTACTTCGGCCGGCGGCTCCTCCTCGGCCGGCAGCTGCAGCTGCAGGGCGTCGGTTTGCGCCTTCTCGACCCGCTGCAGGAGGCAGAGCGAGCGACCGTCAGGAACCAGGGCTGCGCTGGCGCTCGAGCTGCACCCCTGCGGCTTCATGAGGTCGTGGAAAATCTCGAGCCTGTCCTCGCTCTGACCTGAGATTCGCCCGGATCTCGCCACGCGAAAACGGTGGAAGCGCAGGGCGCCGCTTATGACGCCGACGAGCAGCAACCAGGCGGGGCTCTCGTCCGCGTAGTAGGGAATGTCGACGAAATCATTGCCGAATTTAACCTCAACGAAGGGGTTGGAGCGGCTAAGAGAGGAGAGATCCACCTCCATCGCCTCCGCCGCCCCCATCTTCCCCTCCGCTTTCCCCTCCCCCATCTTCCCCTCCCCCATCAGCCCCTCCGCTTTCCCCTCCTCAGCCGCCGCCATCTTCCCCTCCGCTTTCCCCTCCTCAGCCGCCGCCATCTTCGGGTTAGGGTTAGGAATTTGGGGACAAGTGGGGCGACTAGAGCCCGTTCGGATCTCCTCCACGATCCAACTTCTCGAGAAGCTGGCGAGAAGCCAGTCGAACGACCCGGCTCCTGGAATCTGGCTCCTGGAATCTGACTCGGCTCCAGTGCAATTTCTGGAAGCAGCCCCGCCCCAGCTCCTAGATTCTGGAGAAGCGGGAGTTGCCGGATATTACATTCCATGCCATCCCGAAATGCTACAGCCCACCCAGCGAACCGTTTTCCTATCGCTAATGCCCCGTCGAATCGTTTTTCTCTCGCTACAGTGTACCAAGTCGCTGCCGAACGCTCGCTGGCTCCCGTGAGAAGCCAGCTAGCACTAGCTCGCGCGACAAGCTGGCTTTCGGAGAAGCCAGCGGACTTCCGAACGAGCCCTAAATTTGGGGTGGTTGCTTGGTCCTGCAATATGGCCGTGCCACCAACCACCAGCAACACTATTTGGGCCGGCCCAACTAGATCTTAGATTTCAGGAAATTTTACCCTCCCTTATTCACAAAAAGAAGAAGAAGGAAATATTACCCTCCCAGGCTCCCACCCACCGTCGCTGTCACCTCGTTGGGATGAGGCAAACCAACATGTGGTTGTATGGTTAGAGAGGCAGTGGTATCCCCAGCCCACCAGGGTTCAAGTCCTGGTGCTCGCATATTCCTGGATTTATTTCAGGATTTCCGGCTATCACTTTTAGTGGGAGGGTAAAATTATGTGTTTTCAGTGGTATCCCCAACCCACCAGGGTTCAAGTCCTACTACTATTTGAGCTCGGCTCCAACAGGTGGTCCACACAACAAATAGTAGTAGCAAAGAATAGCAGGAAAGCATCTTATAATAACACCATAAATAATAATTATGCATATGCTATATCAACCACAATGCAACAAGAAAGCATAGAAATAACCTTGCAAATATAATAATTAAAAACAACATAAGGAGATCATAATAATGTTGCTAAATGGAGTGAAAATGATAAAGTGAGATCATTAACTCAGCCAGGCAAACATATTGTAGCCATGAAGGGTTAATGTGCAATGGAGGGATATTGGACCAGTGACCAAGACAGTGCCTCGCATTGTTACGTGTGGGATGGAAAAGGAACAACACAAACAAAACAAACAGACATGTAAGATGGTTTGGTCCAGTGTCCACCTTGCAAGATGTTACATGGATATGTTCAAACAGAAGAAAGGTAAGGCAAAACTCACCGGTGTAAAAGCAAATATGCAGTTATTATCCAAAGTTCTTACCTACCATCTAGCTGATTGTGTTATTTGTGTAAATAATGGATGGAATTATGACAATGATGGACTAACCTCACGATGATCGAACTTGGCTTCATGCCTAGATTCATCATTTTGCCATGAGTTCTGATGTGGCACTAAAAAATTTCTTCTCACTAGTTTAATGACCCGTGCGTTGTCATGGAACAAAAAAATTAGACAAGGTGACACAAGTTTTCTGAGTGTTAACATTAATGATGTCAAACAAATATCAAAGATGCTTCAATAATCACCCACCATGTTATGTGTGTGGAAACACCAAATAATAATAGGACCTTTTCACCTCATCAAGAAAGAATACTGTCGGGGGATTGATTTTGAGCTACGGGAAATCCTCCAAAATCCTAGTTCGAGCTCTGGGGGCCTGACTTTGCGTCTACAAGACTACGAGTTAGGCACGACGAGGACATCGCGAGCTACCCAGGTTCGAGCCACCGTGCGGTGTAAAACCCTACTCCTACTTGGTTGTTTTTCTGTGTACAGTGCTCTTGGAGCTACAAGGTGAGCTTGAGCTCTTTGGGGCTAGCAATGGCGCTAGGGTTTGAGCAAGAGCCGATGTGGTTGACCCCTTGCTACGACGGCCGCTCTGCCCCTTATATAGATGTCTTGGGCCTCTTCGTCAAAAATATGAGCGGGAAGGGCTACCATAGGGTGGCAATTCGAAAGGGGACATGCGTCGGAGCTTCTCTGACGAAAGGTGGTATTCACCTACAAAAGGTGCTATCCATGACGTGCCAGGGGCTCCACGATGAGTTCCGTCCTGCCACGCCACCGTCTTGGTCTTCTATCACCAAAGGGAAAACCCTTTGGACTTCACTACAAGAAATATGTCAACTTGCGACCGTCAATATTGGTCATTGTTTTTCATTTGCGGCCTTTTTGTGGCCAAAACACTTGGTCAAAAGCTGACCATCTTTAATGAAATTGACGACCTTTGTTGTGAAATGGTCGTAGAAGGCAACGACCAAAATAAAAGATCATTGGTTCAATGACCAATTATTTTGGTCACTGGTTGTCTTCCCAGGCCACATCGGATCCAACGTGGCAAGCCGATGTGGCAAAATTGCGACCAATTGAATTGGTCGTTGATAAGAATCAGCCCGGTCCAATTTGGTGTTTTACATGGGCCGAGCCCAACAATTCAGCCTTCTTGTATTTTTTCCTATTAATTTTGGTCAGCTACATGGGCTTGGCGCATTAATTCAGCCTTTTTTGCTTTCTGAGATGCAGCCTTTTCACATTCTATATAATTTCTATTTTTGGCTTTCTTTGTTTTTTTGTTACATTCAATTTTCCGATTATTGTAGTCAACAGGGTGCACATTGCCAGATTCTTCAAGGCACTAGGTCCCAGTCATTAGGTTTTAATTTTTCACAGCTCGTAACTCATATATATACCAATCAGAGAACCCATTTAAAATATATTCAAATAACAACCAAACTCAGTTTATTACAACATTCCACACAATCACAATATAACCATACATTATTCCACCAATCACAATATAGCACTCTACAGATAAAACACTCAACAATATAGCACTCTACAGATAAAACGCTCAACAATATAACACTTTATAGTCAGGGGCCAGCCAAGCCTACTACCATGCATGAGGCCACAACCAGCCCAATAGCATCAGCACCGTCGGAGCCATGACCAACGTCTAAGCTTTATCAAGCTCCCTACACATTGCATTTAGTGTCAAAGCATCAAAAGATGGAGTTGCAAAGTGAATATCTTAGGGGAAGCTACACTCGGCATATACACGGGCAGAGCGGGGTTTAGATAACCAAGTCATGTTTAAAAGAGTAAACTGAAGGAGTACAATTAGCGTGTAACCTGGAAAACATATAGCTAGTACCTATCTATCAACACATGTCATCACATAGAAGCCAAATACTATTAACTGGTAATTAGTAGACAGACAAGATCGAGCTACGTAATGGCTACCACAAGCAAAAGTGACAACACAAAGAAAATGGGGACTAGGAGGCAGTAAGGAGAAGGATTCCACAATGAAGAAATTATGTAAATAACAGATTGAAAATGGAAACAGAAGAAGCTTGCCTATCTCTCTCTATGTGTGTGTGTGTGTGTGTGTGGTACATAGCTTATTTCTTTAGCCAACAGAATTTAGAAAGAAGATTTTTTTGCAATACAATTATGTTATACATATGAATGACACCCAAGTAATTTGAGATAGAAACAAGTACAGCTAACAATCTAACATGTGTAGTAGCACCAACAAAAGAGCAAGACACAGAAGAATTTATAAGAACAACACCCTGGAAAGAACTTGGGAGTCCAGTTACATGTACATGAGGTACTACTGCTAGTATATATTGAACCAATCAAGCTGCTAGTGTACATGAGGTGCTTGACCTCGTACTGCCTAGTATGTATACATGGTAGAATCCTGCTGCTAGTGTTCTAAACCAACAGAGCATGCTATTGGAGCAGAAAAGAGGGAGCTAGGGGTAGGAGATGGAGCCAACTCACGGAGAACTTGTGGTCGCCGCCGTACATAGCCGCCATAATGCCGGTCACCTAGTTGATATTGTCCTTGAAGTCCTCTAACTCCATGTTGTTCCACTACAGCTCGGTATTTGCCCAACCTTGTGTGTACATGCATAAGGGCATACATAAAATATTCAAGTCAATATTCTCAGCTAATTGTGATGTAATGAAAGCAATTACTTAAGGACTTCCCAGCGCTCATTTCAGCCATGTTCAGATAAACTTGAGGTAAATTAGCAGCAAGGATATTAGTTACAAGCTAGGTGAAATACAAAAGAAGTCATATTGTATTTTATGGATCCCAACTGGTTTAAACTAGAGAAGATCGTTCAACTTGTACAATCTAGCAGTCTAAAAAGAGAGAAATATGTTCATTCTCAGTTACACATTAATGAGGACAGAAATGAAAGACACTAATGTAAGCAAGAACTTACAGCAAAGTATACATTAAATATATTGTAGCGTCTCTAGCACTGTTGTTGTTTGCATATTAAAACCAATGGTTGACAACTATGGATCATCATTGATAAATTTGCATCAGATGCTACCACTTAATTTTGGCACATGACAAGACCAAAAGAGAAATCGAGCAGACTAGAAGGGGAGGTCGTGCGGGGTGCAGGCAATATGACTAAACTACCCCAGAACATAAACCATAAAACAAGGCCTGAAGCAACTGTGTTGTCTTCAAACAGCCTAAACACTGAGGCAGAAAAGAAACACCTGACTTGGTAGTGGCAGTTGGGTTCATTTTGGGCAAACAAAGTGCCAGTCATCCTATGATGCGACTACGTGACTGCTCTCCCTCAGATCATCGCCGAATGCAAAGCATACACCCGACTGGCAGTGCCAATTTGATTCATTTGGAGCAACCCATTGTTTTAAACTTTTATTACAACCTACAACAATCATATGAAACAATGTGACTTCACTGCCCGAGAACATAAATGAAGAGTGTCAAGCTCAAACTGTAGAACAAGGGTTGAACCAAGTGTGCCTCCTACTAGAAGCAGCCTACACATTTCGGGCAGGAAAATAACACCTGACTTGGTTGTGGCAGTTGGGTTCATTTTAGGCAAACAACTATTGTAGACTGCTAGTATAGAGTAATCCTATGCAACAATATGTCTGCTCTGTCCCTATGCCCTAGATCAGAAATGAACGCA